TTTTTTTTTTTTTTGGTACCAGGGATCAAACTCGGGTCTTTGTGCTTGCGCAGCAGGCGGTGAAACCACTGAGCTAAATCCCCAGCCTCCAATCACTTCTTTATTCCCATGTTCTCTAGGGGCCACAGGTAATCACTGCATATTAAATGATGGCAGATCACCTTCTCCTCTCTCTATGATTTCAAGCTAGTTTCCTGGTCCTGCTAGTCTTTGTTTTTACATTCTTGATTCCAACTTCAGGGCTATACCCTTAATTCAGACCCTGATCAGTGCTCAGGTGGACCATTGCATTTCCTTAATACTTGAGTTCTGGAGTCATTCCCTTCTAACCTATTAATCCCAGTAAAATCCCAATTTAAATACTTTCACTCATATTACCCTCAAGAAAGTGTCCAAATTCTTTGGTGTTACAATAAAGACTCTTCATAATTTGAATGGTGCTACTAGGCTATTTTCTTTAAATGTCCCCCAGGTAAAGAATCCCCTGCCCCAGCCAATCTAAATGGGAGCAACTCCTTGGACTTGACATGCATGGTCCTGCCTATGTACAAGCTGTTCATTCTGCCCAGGATACCCTTACTTTTCATCTCTTTGTCTTTATGAAGAACTTCTAGACATCTTTCAGTATTTGGTCCATGGTTCTCTACAATTATAATTTTATTAAAGCCACATATTGTTAGCTTCTTAAAAGTATGGGCACATCATATTCATGCTTGTTCCACTTTTAAATTTCATAGCCTGGTATTTTCCCTTTCTATTCTTGAATCATCCCAAGTCTCAGAGCCTTTCTTCTGGCTTCTTTTTCTTGGAGATCCCTTCACTGCTCTTATATGCTGCTCTTCATAGAACTACCTGACTTATTCATCATTCAGGTCTCAACTCAAATGCCACCTCTGCAGAGGGACAGTCTCTGGAGTCTTAGAAATAAAGTACCCTCACCCCATCTTCCCAATCATTTTCTCTTCATCCTTTTGCATTTCTTCTGAAACATTTGTAACTTTCAGAAATAATCTTATATGTCTCCATGTTTATTTATTGCTCTCCCCTGTTCTCCCATTTCTCACTAGAACATATTCTTCCAACTAAAATGCAGGGTGCTTTCTTACTCATTCACTGATGTATTTCTAGTGACTATAATAGTACCTAACACATAATAGGTATCAAAAATTTTTGGAATGATTGTATTTTATAAAGGGTTTGTAATTGGGGGAGTGGTATAAATAGGAGTATTTTATGAACTTCCCATGAGTCTAAATTTAAAAAGGTACGCATCCTTTTTTGTTTGTTTTTTGGTAGCAGGGATCGAACTTAGGACCTTGTGCTTGTGAGTCAGGCAGCAGAACCACTGAGCTAAGTCCCCGGCAAAAGGTGCACATCCTAATCAATCTCCCTTCTTTCCAACCTTTCTCACAACTATGAATCATTATTTGAATGTTGCTTTTTATTCTTTTTTGTAACTATTCTTACATGTTAAATAAAAGTTAAGGAAGACCTAACTTTTCAAGGCCTTTTAAAATATAGACATTGGGATCAAATTATCTAGGTTTAAATCCAAGCTCTGCCAAATTGGGCAAGTAATTCAACCTCTCTGTGTCTCAGTTTCCATATCCATAATATGATGCCTTCCTCATGAACTTGTGGGTTGATCACAAGAACATGTACACAACACTCAGAACAGTGTCTACATAGTAAGTTCAGTGTACATGTTCATCATTAATATTGGTTGTTTTCTGTGTGAAGGCTAGGATACAAGTCAAATCCAAATAATAGGAGAACCTGTGAGAATTGAATGTGATGAAGAAAGTTTGTGTGACAGAGTTGCAAGCAGCAGGATAATTGCTTCCAGAAATTGAAAACAAAATAATTTATTAATTTTACAGTTAGAAATTTGTAATACACATATAGGAAATCTGAAAGTTATTTAGAATACTTCCATGATTTTGTGCTGAATGTTATAAATTTTATTTTAAAATAGTTCACTAAATCTCATGTTGCATTTTAATATTTTAAAATAAAATTTATTATATATCAAAATCTTGAGCATTTAAAAAGTTGTAGGGCTGGGATTTAGCTCAGTGGTTTCACTGCCTGCTGCGCAAGTGCAAGGACCTGAGTTCGATCCCTGGTACCAAAAAACCCCACAAATTTTTGTAAAAATCATGATTCAAGCCAGTAATTTTGTGCTTTGAGATACACACAGTAAACAGAGCTTCATTTGTCTATGAAGAATTTACTCTGTTCTTTTCTAGCTTTTTCAAGGCTTTCAAAAGTGATCATTCCTTTTGGCAGCTGCAACTTGCTCTTCTCAGTTTCCAGTATGTCTTCAGCTTCACCTTAAAATAAAAAACAGAAATATAAAAGATTACAAAGTGTTTTTGTGATGAGGCCTGATTGCCATGTTCCACTGACAAGCTATAACATTGTATGGGGCCATATCCTTAAATCTCAGTTAAACATTTCAGCCATTTTCCTCAGAAGTAGTGTACCTCCCAGAGGAAACAAAATGATGAATTTTGAAAATTCATAGACCAGTCAGGTGCCAGAGATTTATTTTTGACAGAAGACAGCATTTTAAACTGTAGACAAGAAAGAACTCCAAGATAAGTAATTTTTTCCCCTTGAACCAAAGTCAGGATAATCAGTATTAATTGTATTTGTAAAGGCTTGGGATAGAGATACTACACACATTTCTCAATATTGCCCCTTAACATAAACTAAGTGATAGAAGACAACATAATGACTACTAAAAAGTCTAGTTCTTCAGGAAAGTTACTCTTTCACCTGAAATCACTTAAAAATCCAAAATAATATTAAATATTCATTACCCTGTATATACACACACATACATATATATTTTTATAAAAAATTTCTCTTCCAAACAACTACCAGTAGGAAAGGCAGTAATTTTTTGAGCCCAGTGAAATTTGCCAGTTTTTATTGTTGAAGACAAATGAACAAAAATTTTTAAGAATTGTATAATACATGTTGTTGACATCCTATAAACCTGCCTTGGTAATGAAGGCAAATGCTTTCTATCAGTACTCCTCTTTTACTATACTATAACTATACTATTTATTTATTTATACATACATACAATTTATGATTGTGTGTAATGAAGTACAAGTTTATGTATACATTGTATGTGGATCAAACCAGAGTACTTAGCGAACTCATAGATTCAAACGCTTATTATTTCTTTTATTTTTCCCCTTAAATTTATTGGTACATTTTTGGTATAAAATACAGTTACATTCATCATTGGGATCTTGTACCATTACATGAGTATCTTGATTCTT